GTGCAACCCGTCATGAACTAACATTAATATTGCGAATTTTTCCTATCACAAATAAAAAATCGAATTATTTTTTCGGATCTGGAAACCCGAACTTCATAAAATTCGGAAAAAACCGGTCTAAGCCGGTCTAATATGTGCAAAATTATTTTAATTACTGGAAAATCAATGTTACACTTTAGAAAATTTTGAATAAAATTTAAGAAAAATTGATAAGATTAAATTTTATACAGTAGTAAGCAAATATCCCTCTCAATACTTATATTTCTGGCATCTCTTTTAATCGCCCAAATCAAATGATATCCTCCAAATTCATTGTCTTTAATCCATCAAAATCGTCCACTTAAACATGCAAAAATTAAAAATTTTGATAAGAATGTGTAGTCATTACGGGCCCGAAAGTGCTTGTAGATATAAAAGATATCGTAGGATAAAAGAGATTTGAAAAAATATAGTGTGTTGACTAAAGGAGAATCCGTCCAAATCTCATGATATCTCCCATTATTTCCTCAAATAATCTCTCAGTATTTATACTTTCAAATTATTCACATCCCCTTAGAATTATTTACGTCTCTTTAAACCACCCCTTAATCCCTCTAAATCTCATTATATCCCCAGATAAAAAAATCTTTTATGACTTTTTCCAGCTGATTCAAATAAAAATTATTGAATTTTAAAAAGAGAAAAATTACATTAGAAAAATGTAAAGCTATCCAAACTATATTTTATGGAATTTGTATGGGAGAGAGTCGGGTACATAATGAAGATAAAGACAGATTAAAAAAAGAAGACTTCGATTTAATGCCAACATAATTTAAAGTTTGAGTATAAATTTATATATTAAATTTTTATCAATAAAATTAAAATAAAATTTATATTAAATTAACAAAAATGTATTTTTATTTAATAAATTTATTTATTTTAATTAAATTAATTAATTCCCAAGATTTATTTACATCTTCTGCAGAATTACAACAATTAGTACATGTAGAAAAAGAAATTCCAAAAATCATAGAAAATTATATTTTATTGGAAAATAAACGTTTGGAAAATTTAAAAAGGTATTTTTTTAATTAAAGGGATTTGTAGAAGGGATTTGTATCGGTGTCACTTTCATAAGTGAGGTGTCACTTTCCCAAGCAGGCGCGCGGCCATAACAGCGCAAAGTCACAACTAGCGGGAAGATCTCTGACCCTTATCAATTTTGGTATTAATTTCTTTAGTTCGATGAGATAAATTTGTTAGGATTCAGAAATTTTAAAGCAGGTTATGTCTTCGCGTTGTACCTTATAAGAGGCTTTATCTCCACCCCCTGAGTTTAAAAAATTATCTTAAATTAGTTAATAAATAATTTTTTAGAATAGCAAATAAATATTTAAAAGAAAAAAGTGAATTATTTGAATTGGAACCAAAAAATGTTTTAAATCCTTTAATTGCTCTTCGAGTAATAAAAAAATTGACAAAAACTTGGAAAGAAATTAAAAAAGAAATTCAATCAGATTTGGCTGTAAATTATTTAAAAAATATTTCAAAACAAAGAGAAACTCGTTTTCCTACTGTGGTGGGGATTTTTATTTTTTAATTAACGGATACTGATAAAATCCGGATACCCGCAAATATATCCGGAAACTGACGGATATGGATACTGATTTTTTAAAAATCGTAGGATACGGATATTACCTCACGGATATATCCGGATATTGACACCAAAATTCGTGTCCTAGGCATGCCTGGATTAATCACTAAATATCTCCTCTCTCTCATTCTCTTTTATTTATGTCTTTCATCATATATCCAATAATATTTTTATAAAAAAGGATGATTTAAATGGAGCATTTGAAGGATTATTTCGTTTACAAGATACTTACAATTTAAAAACTAAAGATTTGGCTAATGGAATTGTTGAGGATGTTAATATAAACAAACAAATGGATGGTTAAATTTTTTGATTATTAAATTATATAAAATAATTATATATTTATTTTAGCGAAGGATTGTTATGATATAGGTCTTGCTGCATATAATAAAGAGGTTATTTTATTATCAAAGAATTAATTAATTAAGTCGGACGTTAAGATTACCTTTTTTAAAATTCTGTAGGGTATCCTGAAGCGAAAAACCCCTTCAATTTGATTATCGGTTATGGATACCTGGATACCCAAAAAAAGAATAAAATCTATTAGCATGGCCGTCAAAATGCCAAAATTTTCGCCTACTGCCCTGAAAAGAAAGAAAAGCCTTCTAATCTCCTCATCATAATAACGGTACTAAAAAGGAAAGAAATCTGTTTAGTAAAGGAAATGTCGACGAATTTTGCCATGATATCGAGGGACCAGGAGTGATTGAGGGAAATTTTGGTTTTAAGACCATAAACACATTCTTAGGATACAGGATTTAGTCTCAATATATTTAATTTAAAAAAGGATTATTATCACTCAATATTATGGATGCAAGAAGCAAATGAACGATATAATTTACAAAAAGAATTTACACAAAATAAAACTGATATTTTAAATATTTTGTCAATTTCCTTATATAAACAAGGAAATTTAAAGAGAGCTTTAATTATTAATGATAAATTAATTGAATTAGGTAATTGTTGAAGATTAAATTTAATTAAAAAAAATTTTTCCCTTAAAAAAGATCCTTTATATCCAAATGCAACAAATAATTCAAAATTATATGAACAAGAATTATTGGATAATGGAGTTGTTGAGGAAGATTTTCGAATAAATATACCTCCTTTAAATAATTATAGGATATCAAACGATCCTATAAGAAATTTTTATGATCATCAAGTTTATGAAGAACTTTGTCGTGGTGAAAAAGAAATTGTTTGTTAATTAGAATTAATTAAAATAATTCAGGCACCGGAATTGTCCGGAGTCCGGGTTCCAAAAAAATTTTTTTGCGATTCAGGTTTATGAAGACCCTTTTTTGCGATTTCCGGATTTTTCCGTGTCAGATTACTCCAAAAAATCCGGCTGGAGCTATCCGGCTGAGAAATCCGGTTGGGCTGGTCCGGTTGAGAAATCCGGCTGGATCTTGTCCCGCTCAAGTTACAAAAATCCGGAATCTGGGTCAGGATAAAATATCAATTTTCCCGGACATTAATAATCTCAATTAATCTTTAGAATACAACAGAAATATCCCAACTTTATTGTTATTACAAAATGGATCGTCCTTTCCTTCGTTTAGCCCCAATTAAGGTTGAAATAATTCGATTTGAACCCTTAGCTGTTATATTTCGAAATGTTATTGGTGATGGAGAGATTGAAATAATGCAGAATTTATCCTTAAAAGAACTACATAGATCTATGTTTGAAGGCAAAATTTCCAACTTTAGAATCAGCAAAATGTTTTTTTAAATAATTTATTTTATTTTAATTTTATTTTTTAAAGTGCCTGGATTGAGACAGACACCCATCCTGTTGTTAAACAAATAGTTAATCGTGTAGAATTAATGACTAATTTAAATATGAAGTCAGCTGAACCTTTACAAGTAAAATAATAATTTTTAAAAAATTAAAAAATTATTTTGTAAAGGTGGCAAATTATGGAATTGGCGGACATTGTGAACACCATTATGATATTGTATGAGTTTGAAAAAAAATAATTAAAATTATATTGAAATGGCTAAAACATGACTAAAAGTTTTAAAACTCAAATAAAATATGTATTGTTGCGCCCCGAACGCTCGGTGGCAGGTGTATCGGGGTTCGGGGTTTTCGAATTGTTTCGGGGCGGGATTCGGGTCGGGGATAATGTGGATAATTATTTCGGGAACGGGGTCGGGGCAACACTACTACTAACCAATAATATAAGTATTTTCACAATAAAAGTAGTTTTTGAAAAGAAAAATTCTCGGATCGGATTTCGGGTCGAAAAAAAGACCAGGTTTCGGCTCTCGGGTTTCCGGTTAAACGACCCATCCATGCTGTCTACATAATTTCATTTCGAAGTCCCACGGACAGCACACATTTGTTCCGTATTAGTAAAAAATTCCGTATTAGTAAGTCAAGATAGACATTTACCGGTGGACCAATATTCGTAAGGATTACCACAAGTATTAATAATTTTAATTCAAAAATATATTTCGTAGGATTCTGGAACTTTAAACGAATACAGAATTGCGACAGCTTTATTTTATTTAAGTACCCCAGAAAAGGGAGGATATACAGTTTTTACTGATTTAAAAACAATTGCTAAACCGACAAAAAATGATGCCATTTTTTGGTATAATTTGTGGAGAAGTGGAGATGGCGATTTGAGAACAATGTTTTTAATTATATATTCTATTAAATAATTTTATTCATATTTAGGCATGCAGCCTGTCCTGTTCTGTTGGGTGATAAATGGGCTATGAATAGTTTTATACACGAAAGAGAACAAGAATTTAGACGTCCTTGTGGTTTAGATCCTTCAATACAAGAACGTTATGTTGGTGATTTGGGAGGTCCGGAACCTAAAAAATATCCAAATATATCACCATATTGTAAAGAGGGGTTATATTGTGAATGATATGGAAATTTCTAAAAGAATATTTGTGATAATTAAAATAAATTTTCTATTATATTTAAATTTTAATACAATAAACAATATAATTAATTATTATTGAGAGGCTAAATCACTTTAGCGGTCCCGGAAACCGGATTCTGAATTTTCACTTTCATGCCGGCCCGGAGCTGGCAGATTTAATCCAGTCTTGTTTTAACCAGTTAAAAATAATTTCAGGATTCCGGCAGAATTCAACCGGATTCCTGGATGAACTGGATAACAGGTGATTTGGGAAATTGGGTGGAATATCATAGATTTAAAAAATTAGGTGTAAATTTGGGCCAGGAGAACGCTAACTCGAATTCCGGAGAAATTCGGCAAGGTCCGGTTTTGTGCCGGACACCAATATTTAATATTTACAAAATTATTTTAATTAATTGTAAAATCACTATTAATCTTTAGAAAATTTAAAATAAAATTTTAAATAAAAAATGAAATCATATTTCTCATCCGGTAGTTAAACATCTCAACAAAATAAGCCCCAAGTTAACCCAAACACTTGCAATTAACATAATCTTCAAAAAATTAAAAAGATTATCTCTTAGTTATTTAAAAATTACTTTTATCACTCCATCCCAACCCCCAACATCATCTGTTGGCCAAGGCCGCCGATGGAGTGCGCATAATTTGAAGGCATCCACTCTAGCTTCTAATAAATTGTTGAGGAAGGCACAGAGCGGTGCGAGAGGAAAAGCGGGTGAAAAAAGGAGTACATAACCTTTAATTTTATGAAGAATATTTTTTAAAACTCTTAAAATTATTAAAATTTAGCCCTAATAAATGCACAAAAACTGCAATCTAATTTTGCGGACAACACTATATTGTCCGCAAAAATTTGCGGACAACATTATATTTTAACTTTGAATCTGCTTTAATTTTGTAAATCGAAATCTGCAGGGGGCAGTCTGAAATGGCGATGGTGTCTGAAATCGGAACTGTCGAAAATTGGAAATGGCTCAAAAGTCGGAACTCGGAAATCATAATTCCGATCGACTTCTGCTCTGCACCTGTCAGTAGCTCCAAGAATTAATGAATAGTTTTATAAAGTTGGATCTCACTATAAGCTACCACAAATACTAAAATATAACTTAAGATGCTTTTCTTAAATCTTGTATGGCTATTGAATGATGGGAGCTGTTTAAGAGTTACCCTCAATTTAATAGACCCCTCATTATAAGATAAGCTTTTTAAGCCTCAAGAGTCTATCCTATAGTGATTTAACCTAATTGAATAAACATTTCCAAATAATCATCCAAAGGCCGTCCATATTCTGATAATGCTGCCTGACGTTCCTCTTCACTAGGATTTTCTTCGTCAAAATTATTAGCTGCTTGATGTGCCCTCCAATGACTAACTTTACGCTTTGCCTCCAAATTTCGAATAAAGGCATATTGCATTAAACGTAATTCGCCATAAATTAGAGGAATTCCAATTTCAGTAAAATTTTGAACAAATTGGCGTGTAACGAGTAAAGTAGCTAAACTCTAGAAATATTAAAATTATTTTTGAATCTCACCATGAGACACATCCTATGGACTATTAAGATACGCACCTGGTCTATATCCAGGAGTGTACTTTAAATAGAGGGTATCTCTTTACTAGCCCTCCTTCACCCACCCGTAGTATCTACCTAATTTAAAACATTTTTGTCTCTAGTATTGAGCGTATCTTATAGAGAGGTTTGGCCATACTTGTTGTAATCGTTTCCAATCGCCAAGCCAAAACGCTATATAGAATAAAGGGCAAAAAGAACTGATAGATTGGAATAAAGCCAATCTCGCGACCAACAAAAAATCGTTTTTCCTCTTCCCTCTAATCCATTCAGTTTCAGCACAACGTCTATAAATATATTCTGCACCCATACAAATTAAAGCCTGTAAAACAACTGGAGCTAAACTTTTCAAATTAGAACTTCCAAAATTTTCTCTAGACCAATCTTGTAGTCTCAATAAAATTATTAGTGTTATTAATAAGGAAATTAAAGAAAAAATCTCTATAGGACGGCAAATATTTTTTAGTAAATTTTGTCGAAATTTGAAATTATTTTGATGGTCTAGAGGCTCCTTATTTTGAATTAAGTGCTGTTTTTGTATTTTCCAACTGTAAAGGAAGCCAATAGCCCATAAACAATTAAAAACTGCGAATATTATGAAGGCGAAAAATTCAAAATTTTTTGTTGTCGTTGATGATGTTTGTAGATAAATGAGAGTTCCTTTAATTTAATTATTAATTGAAGGTAACATTGAAAAATTTTAAAACTGGCAATTGTCAAGTTCATAAAATGAGTTATATGTATGTCCCTGAGAACAAATCGGGATGACTAAACCTAAATGTTTTATAAAGGACACACTCGATTTTACAAAACTCAAAAATACATACACCCCCAATTTACGAAATATTTTATATTGCTTGGTCAATGGGAGGGAGCAGGCTGGTTTGACTGGGGGTGCTTCTGCCTGAGCCAAGCCAGGATTTGAGTCATAAAACGCCTAATACCCAGCACATGTGGTTAGAAAATCCTTCCATTATCAATGAACTCAATTTTAGGTATATTTTTTAGTTTAAGAGGTGTATGTAAAATCCAGGTCTGACTCTGTATATCTAATTAATCTACCTATCAGTGCCGGGGCAATCAAACATTTCGTGTAATGTGCCAACCAAGCAAAATATAAACTAATTTCTGACCCAAAATATCCAGAAATTTGTTGAATGGGAGGATGTAAAAGTTCTGAAGGTGAAGAAAATACCCAATTAAGGAAAAGTTGGCTAAGATGATCAGGTTGATGCAATGGAATTAAAGAATAAATAATTTTTGTTGATTTGGAAAGAAGGAATGGTACTGTAAAATTGGAAAAAAAATATTTTTTGATTTGGACAATCTAAGATCGTGTATTTGCGGACAAACTTTACGCATTTTTCATTCCCTATATAACCAAATCACACTAAAGAATACACTAAATCTTGGCAGGGCCCTATTTCAATTGTCCACAGATTCTGCGGTCTGCGTTCTGTGCACAGACCACAGAACCACAGAAATTCTGTTTCAATTATTCCACAGATTCTGCGGAAAAAGAAGTCCGCAGATTCTGTGGAAACATGCACAGAATCTGTGGAAACATCCACAGATTCTGCAAAACATCCAAAAACATGCAAAAACCACAGAATTCTATTTCAATTATTTTTCTGTGCACAGAAAAAAATCCACAGACTTGTGGCTTTTTTAGTCGATTCTGTGCATTTCTGTTTCAATTATTTCTGTGGTCTGCGGAAAATACACAGAATTCTTTAAAAAATCCACCCTAAAATTTTTTCTGCGAACTTTCTGTGGAAAAACTTTAACAATTTTTTTCTAGGCCTAGGCTTAACCAAATTTCAAAATTTTTAAAGATTATTAAAGTTTGAATCATTCTCTATTTTTTGATATAAAAATTATAATTTTATTACCTAAAATTATTGCTTAAAATTAATTTTGAAAAAGGTACATCTTTTTTACGCAGTTTTTGTTATATTCAAGCAATAAAAAAATAAAAAACGTGAGAGATTCTGAAATTTAGAGCTATGATGTTCTAATCATCATGGATATCTCTAATGAGGGGATGTTTACCCGGGATCTATAGAAGATATCTGTATAGCGTATACTGGGATATCTCCCATGATCTCTCATTGATATCCGTCATAATCTCTCCTCCTATTTAATGATAGATTTCCTCCTTAATCACTCCAATATATTAAACCTCAAAATCAATGGATATCCCACTTAATCACTCCTCTACGATTTTAAAGTTCCGATTTGACTATAATTTTGGATTCCAGGCATTTTCGATTTCCAGGAACCTCAATTTCTGACTAAACAATCCCCAGTTTTGTAACATTTCCCTCCCTTGCAACAACTTCTATCGTAGTTTGAAAAAGCCACATGTCGGATCGACATCTCCTGATTTTTCCGATCCGAACCCTGCTTTAGGACATTAATTTAATTGGAGATTTAAGGATATTGGATGAACAAGAAAATTAAGCGGTATATCAGCGGTTTTAAAGTGATATCAAAGAGATTTAAAGGGATGTTATGTGATTTGGAGGGAAAATTTTTAAATCTTTACAATATTTTTCAGTTTAATTTAAGAATTTTTAAAGTTTTACTTCAAAAAATCAGGTACCATTAATACTGCGTTAGTACCGAACTGTCCAAACCATTTTTCGTTTCAATAAAACTGTTATTTTCAAAAACGCGGAAATAAAAAATTTGAATTTAGAAGAAAAAATACACAGAACCACAGAAAAATAATTGAAATACAAATTCTGTGGATCAGTGGAAAAAATCCACAGATTTTTATATTTTCCACAGAAATTTTCATCCACAGAATCTGCGGAATGTTTCCACAGAATCATTGGATGTTTCCGCAGAATCTGCGGGCACCACAGATTCTGTGCACACAGAATTTAATTGAAACAGAATTTCCACAGAATTTGTGTTCTGTGCACAGAATGCAGAATCTGTGGACAATTGAAATAGGCCCCAGGACGCAAGTAAAAAAATTTCCGCAGCCGCAACCCGCGATTTCAATTTTAAAAGTAGCAGCCCAATTTGCAGTCCGCAAATTCAAAAATCTGCAGTCCGCAAGTTTCAAAAATTTCACTCAGTCCGCAGTTGCGTCCAGCCCTGCCCCAAATACTATTTTTTAGTTTGGTTGCATATTGGGTAGTGGAGCTGCCTAAACAATTCATTATAGTTAAAGTATATCTCATCATAAGATACGAGTTTTACAGTCCCAAGTGTTTATTGTAGAGTAAGGAAAAAAATATGTCCGCAAATCTTTTCCCAAATTCTAAAATAAACAAACTTAAAAAAGTGCCAGTCGGAATGTTTAGAATAAATGGATGGTTATCAAAAATGAATTGAATTTGTTCCTCTTTATCAGTCTTTGCCTGTTCCAATAATCTTCTAATTTTAACTAATCTTTCAGTGGAATCATTTAAACTGGTTGAAAAAAAAATTTGGAAAAATTCCGTCATATGTCCCGGAAACCGATCCAGACAAACGATATGTCATTCGAAAGATCTCGCCGAGCTGAGTCGAACGGCACCAAAATTAGCTTGGGGACTCACATATGGGCCGAGATATAGGTCCCCGAAAATCGAAAAACAATAGGGGGGACCAAGCACTTTTTTGGGGTGAAAAATTCGAATATGCAAATTATACCTCATTCGAAAGAGCTCCTTGAGCGGGGTCGAATGACACCAAAATAGCCGTAATTGAACAAGTTTAGACAAAGTTACAACACAAAAAACAAACAACATAAACCTATGGGGCGTCGGCGAGGCGCTTGTGCAAAACCCTGCGCTTCGCGCAGGGTTTTGCGGCACGCGCTTCGCGCAGGGTTTTGCGGCACGCGCCTCGCGGGGAGTCTACGGGCGATGGGTCTGGACTCGTAACATAAACTTATGCCTATTTTAGCTGCGGTCTGCATGTCTGGCTTCCTCCCCAGCAAGAAAAACCTGCACGTAGACCAAAGGTAAGGAGCTAAAACAAATGGTCATAACTTTGTCAAATCAAGTCGGATTTCGCTGATTTTGGTCTCATTCGACTCAGCTCGAGGAGCTCTTTCGAATGAGGTATAATTTGCATATTCGAATTTTTCACCCCAAAAAATGCTTGGTCCCCCCTGTTGTTTTTCGATTTTTGGGGACCTATATCTCGGCCCATATGTGAGTCCCCAAGCTAATTTTGGTGCCGTTCGACTCAGCTCGGCGAGATCTTTCGAATGACATATCGTTCGTCCGAATCGGTTTCCGGGACATATGACGGAATTTTACCAAAAATTTTTTTTTAATCTGATAGAAAATTAACCCTTTATCATTTTTCAGGCTAAAAGCTAATGCATATCTTCGTCTTTTGTTCTGCTGGCGAATATCCACATAAAGAGTTGGGAAATAATAAGTTAGCTAAAACTGGGGTTAAAATATTTAATTTTAAAATTTTTAAAATTTTGACACCTGTAAAGGATTAGAATTTCGCGGATTTTTTGCGGGCAATTTTTCCGACAATTTTTATTAGATGAAATGAGGGTTTTTAAGTCGAACCCAATTTTTAGAGAGTCGAACATAATTTTAGACCTTATAATCTATCTTTATATCGCTTGTGGAACTCATCCACCTTATGGATAAGGTTGTCGGACCCAGATGTCCGGGTCCGAAAAAAGACCGGATATCCGGAAATTTTCTGTTCAAGTTACGGATCCATATATCTAAAGATTTGCAACTATCCGACAACCTTACTTGTAGGAAATGAGGGCCGACTGCTTATTCTTCTTCTCCAACTTGAAGAATAACATGTCTCTTAGCAATTAGGTCTATTAGTCTGCAAAAATTGTCCGCAAATTCCATCCTTCTTTACACATGCCAAAATTCCCAAACCATTTTTGCCAAGCTCTCAGCATCATTTCGAGTCAGTTTCTTCGAGAGGACAGCCAACACAGTTTCATTTGAAGGTTCCACAGTTTCAGGCAAATCATCTGCCCATTTAATTATTTTTCTCATTTTTAACGAATTTTTTAAAGAATTTTAACCAAAATTCAGAGAAATATTTTTAAAAAAAATTTTCACATTCGATTAAATTAAAAATAAAAATTCGTCAGGTGTATTTCGAGAGAAATGATTTTTTGGTCACCAAAATAAATAAATTCATGTTCCTCATTTTGCTTCTTTTTTCTCTTAGATTTATTTGAAATGGAAGGAAGAAAGAAGAATTTTTAAAATGAACAGTTGTAAAATAAAAAGATTATTCACACAAAACTAAAAATAGAAAGAATGAAAAAAATCAAAAAGATATACTTAGAAGAAAATTCTTTTGATCAAGTTTCAAATTTAAAAATAAATATCTAAAATTAAATTAAAATATAACAGAATACACATATCTACCAGAAGTGTTTCGGAAATCACAAAAATGCCGGAAATCGGAACTGTCGGAAATCGGAACTGGCGGAGATCGGAAATATAGGAAATCGGAAATGGCTCAAAAATCGGAACTCGGAAGTTGGAAATTGGAATTCCGACCCACCTTTGTTATGTACAATGAGCAAACTGAATATACGTGGAAATAATTATGTAAGATTGGATAGAAAAGGTTAGAATGCTTAACTTTAGTTGACGCTGAAAAATGGATCAAGAATCTGAAAATTATAGGCACTCGTTAGTTTTTGAAAAAAAACTTAACTAAAATTAAAATATCGGAATTTTAAGAATTTTTAAGACATTCTATTTCATATTCAAAGGACAGAATCAATCAGTGATAAATAAACTATGTTTAGTAGGGAAAATAAACGAAATTTTACGAAAAACGAGCGTCTGATAATTATAAGCACCCCTTATAAACAAAAAATTTCCGGTAAACGTGTCTATTGATATTGTAATCGAGTTTTCCCTGATGAGATGTTTTTATTCAAAAATTAGGGGGTGTTTATAATTTTCAGATATATGTAGCTTATAGTTACATTTTATTCATTACAATATGTTTGCTTTTGAATTTTATTTATTTTCTTCATTCTACCTTGTTTTACATAACAATTCTGACATAAATAATTTCCAGGTTCTGAATGTCGGTACCAATTACATGATTGTTCTTTACCGCAGGTATAACAGTGACGATCATGCTTAAGTGAAATTAAATATAACGTCTCCGCTCCGTTTTATTCGTATCAATCATATAAATTAAGAGAGATTATGAATTGTTTCTCGAAACTAAAAATTGTACCCTAAACCTTCTGCAAGAAATAGTTTAAATCCCGCATGCACTAAATCCACCAAAAATTTGAAATTTCAGGAAAAACTTAATATTATATACATGCTCTTTTTAGTTCCGCATTTATAATGCCTAAATTTTTGGCTCACGACTTGTGAACACAAAACTTGAATAAAAGAATAATCTTTACATCTTATTTTTTCATTATCTGAAAAACATGATTAAACTGAAAAAGGCAAAGGAGATAAGGGACTAGCTGGATTTGGAAAGATTAAGATGGATTTCTTTGGATTAAGAGGGATTAAGGAACAGAAGACGGAAATCTTCCCTGTATCAGTGCACTCTTGGTCCACTTTATCCCCCAAATGTTTTATCTGACATCCAGGGCCCGTTGACCTCTCGAGTTTTAACTTATAATCACCATGAAACAAACCTTTTTAGTAAAAAACCACAGTTTCTTCGATCTATGCTTTCCATATTTTCGTTTATATTTGTCACAACGTTGGCACAAATATTGTCCATTCAGGTATCTATTCCAATCCGCAGTTTGTTTAACTTCACAATTGAAACAACTTCGTTTATTTCCTTCAATAATTTCATCTATAATAATTAGGAATCTTCATTATTTAGTCAAATTAAGAGGTTAAGCTTAAAAAAACTAATCTATACTTATTTTATTTCCAATGTATATAATTCTGCTTTTTAATTTTTCCGGATATTCAACTTTCTGTTTTTCTAACAATTCAATTTTATATCCAATTAAATTAATTTCCGTCCAATAACTTGATAAAAATGCGTTTTTATAATTTTCTATATTTTCGTTTAAGGACTCTTTTTCATTTGATTTTATGTCTTTAGAATAATCATATAAAATTGATGTTTCATACGTATTCTTCTTTTCAATAAAGATATTATTAAACAATACCTTAAATTTTTTATGTAATTAGTGCAAAGTTAACGCTGCGTTAAGGGGGGTTAAGTTAATATAAAGGCCAAAGTTAAAGCCTCTTTATATCATAAAGCTGAGTTTAAAATTCTTAGGATGTCAGAATTTGTTCAATATAAGGATAATTTAGTCTAGTCGACCGCATTTTAATGTATCATGGCAACTAGAAATATTTTTGCAAAGATGGATTTCAACTTCAAAAGGATTTATTACACCCTACACCCCCCCCAGAAGTCGAGCGAATAAAAGGTACGCTCCAATGGGGTACAGCCCAAGTAGGCGCGTGGCCAGGTAGGCGCAAAGCCATAACTTGCTTTAAGATTTCCGAATATTACCAAATTTGGTATTAAACGATTCCTCTCATCCAGCTAAAGAGATGGTAACAAAATTGTTGAAGTCCAGAAATTTTCCAGCTAGTTATGGCTTTGCGCCTACCTGGCAGCGCGCCTACTTGGGCGTGTCCCGCTCCAATGTACCGCGAGGTTACTATCCTATCCATCAGACTAAATCATGAATCTAAAAGGGAATTAGGATAAAATCTGGATAATTTTTTAAAGTCTTAGAGAGGTTAAACTAAAGAGAGGTTTAACTGGGTTTAACTGAATATTTATGGGGATAAATATTTAAATTCTCTTAATATAAAATACCCGTTTTTCAAATTCCAGCAATATATTTTGAATAATTTCCCTATTAGCAATTTCGATCAAAACTTTCTTTTTTAATTGAACAGGTGCAATATCTTTCGATTCACCTATTATTCCAGCATTAAAAATATTTCTTTTATTGTTTAGTTTAATTGGACGCAAATATTCATTTATGTTAATCTTAAAGCTACTGCCATATTGGTTATTACATTTTTCAATTTTTTTCAATACAAAACGCTCCGTTTGTGCAACATTTTTTAAATAAATAAATTCTCTTTTTTCTTTCCAATCATCCTTAATTTTTACCTGAACATTTACTGATTTTGCTTCACTTTGAATATTCAATATAATAATTAAAAAGAATAAAGGAATGATAAATTTAATCATCCTAAATTTTGTTATAATAAAAATAATGTTAATTTTTTAATGTAAATGGTAGAATGGTTTCAAACAGAACCGAGGATTTTCAGTTCAGTTTGTCGGTTTGGTTTTGGTTAATCGAAGAATTTGGTGAAACTGTCAACCCTAGTAAAGAGAATATAGGAGGCCTAACAGGAGCCAGAAAGTTATGCACTAGAAAGTTGTCTAATCATTGTATGTATTATAGACATAAGTAAAGAATGCCTCTTATACATCCGAACACTTCACTAGAGATAATATGTATTTCTACATAAATAATTATTTATTTAATATCACAATAATAACAGAAGCATTTTCACGTTATGATGTGTCTGTTTTAATTTGTAATGTGAAAAGGAGCAAATTTTTCGTTCAGATATCGGTTCCGAATTCGGATATACAAAGCTTCCACTTGATCCTCCAACCATATTTGTGCCTATTTTATATTGTTGTAAACAGGGAGGGTTATTTTGTTTATTAATTAATAAAAATTATAAATTTTTAATATTTATTTTCAATAAACAGGTCTCAATTATATAGAGCTGACTAAAAATTAAATAGGTACAAAATGGTATAGACAAATAAGTAAGAAATTGAGCTTTAGTAATCAAATAATTAAAAGGGCAAATATAAAAATGAAGAATAAATTGAACTTTCTTTGATGTTTTTAAGAAATAATAAAGAAATCGAACAAATTTGAACAAAAATTTTTTATATTTTATTTAAGATTAATTTTTAATCTCTTTTTAATATTTTTAACAAAATTTGGAAAGCGGTACCTTGGACGGCGGGACTTGGGCTAAGGAACTGCTCTCTTTAAAACCGACCTAAAATCCAAAAAATTTGGACAGTGTTTGTTCCATGCATTAATTATTTGGGGAAAATAATAAAAGAAAATTTTTAGTCACTGCTTAGTCAATGCTTTATATTTTCTTGAATTATTTTAATAAAATTATTTTTGATTAAAAACAGCTAAAAATAAAGTTTTAGACACTGATGCCATTTTCTATCCATTTTTGTTATATCTCTATTTAAGGTCACACTTACGCAGTAAGAATGGCGGTTCCTGGGAAAGTTCCGGATCCGAAACCGGTATCCGAACCGAAATTCGGATACCGGTTTTTCGGTCCCGGATAGCGGTAACCGCCACCCTTATTCCTTATTCCACTTCGATTAAAATACAACTTTTAATTTGTTTTGTTAATTAATTAAATAAAATAAGCCTTAAAAATCCTTTGAATCAAAAACATTGGTAACAGAAAAAAAATAATTTTTTTATTCAATATTTTCCTTTTACCAATTCCCAAAAGACTCATTTTAGGGCATCTGTCAAAGATTTATATTTTTTAAAAAATAAAAGGAAAAGATTTGTTTTGTTAAAAAAAGAAAATTTTTGGTTTGTCCAACTTTGCTCTTTCTTACTTTTTTTTTAATTTTGCTGGCATTTCCTTAAATATATTTTTATTTTTGGATATTTCCTCAAAAATTAATTTATTGAAGTTTATTGAAGAAATATTTTTTTAAAAATTTTAATTTTCAAATTGCGAGATTTATTTTTAAATTTATTATAATTTTTGGATTATTTCGAAGATTAAATTTGCTTACAAAAGAAATTAATTTGAAAAATTTTCTTGGAAGACTGGAAAAAATATAAAATTCTAAATAGAAAAAGATGACTCTTAAATTAAAGTAATTTTTCATAATTTTCTATAAATTCTGATCAATGAAATTTTATTTTTATTTTCATATCTATGATATCACATTCAAAACTCGGTTTTAAGTAACATTTGTACCACTTACCGTATTTTCCCAATAGAAGC